GTTGCAAAAAAAAAAAAAAAAAACAGCAGTGAAGAAACCATGTAATGATAATGTCTTTACAATTCCTAACTTAAAGGAATAGTTCACCCAAAAATGAAAATTCCATCATCATTTACTCACCCTCATGTCATTCCAAACCTGTATGACTTTGTTCTGTGGAACACAAAAGATATTTTGAAGAATGTTGGTAACCTTTTAAATTCCTTTGACCTCCACAATATTTTTTTTATATCTTCTTTTGTGTAACACCAAAGAAAGTCAGTCATACATGTTTGGAACGATAAATGATGACAGAATTTTCATTTTTGGGTGAACTATGGGTGGAATCCCTTTAAATAGCTGCACCTGTATGCAAACCTGTATGACTTTCTGTGGAGCACAAAAGAAGATATTTTTTAAAATGTCTGAATGTATTTTCGTCTATACAATTAAACTGAAATTGAATAGGGTCCAATATTGTTTGCCCCCAATGTTCTTCAAAATATCTTCTTTTGTTTGCTTCAAAAGAGTCAAATCATACAAGTTTGTAACAACATGAGTAAATGATGAAAGAATATTTTTATGTCTTGGTAAATGATCCCTTTTAGAATGTTGTTGCATCTGGCACTGGACTTTTCATTGGTTTGCTTGACTTTATCCAGTAATACATTGTTATTTGTATGATTTTTTTGTTTTGTTTATTTAGGCTATTCATGAGGATGAAGATGAGAACATTGCTATGGGCTCCAGCATGGTGCAAAGCATTTTGGGAACTGAGCACCAGCACTTGTATCCTAAAATCCTCCATTTGGTGATGGCCGATGGAGCTTACCAGGAAGGTAAAGTGTTTACACACACATTCTCACTCTCTGATCCATTCATGCACCATTTAATCTGATCTTTGCAGAAATAGAGCAATATAACATGAATGGGTGTAGAAGAGAGCGGTTGTGTTATTCAGTGCAGTGAATCAAGCACTTTAGAGAATGCCCTGAAAACACATACACACAGTATTATTTTCACAGTAATTTTTTCACTGTATATATAATAGTAATATAAAGTGTATGTTATATAATTTATTATTAAAGTGCCCCTATTATGCCTTTTCGAATATTACCTTTCATGCAGTGTGTCATGTAGCTTCATGTGAACATAAACTATCTGCAAAGTTGTGAAGCCGACAGTGCACGATAAATAAAGTTATCAAAAAAAAGAATCGGCTCGCAATCGCCTAAACGAGTCGTCAGGAATTCGAATATTATTCTGTTACGGCTCTACGTCACAAAGTAACACAATTTGCATAATGTCTGCCCACGTTCTATGTCGCCAGCTTGCCCGTCCACAAACAGTACAGTAAAATTTCCCCGTTTATTAGTAATAGTATCACAATATGTATATGTACACTGGAAACCCTGTAAATAGGGACGTTCATTTCGGTTATTTTTCCTAACGGACAACCGACGCTCGTTAACCGATTGTTAACCGTTAACCGACAAGATTATTTTAAATTAGAATTGAATTAAATTAGAAAGAATAAGTGTCTGTGACCCGTTAAAAATACTAACATTTGTTTTCCGGGGATTAATTTTG